CAGTCAATATTTTAGCTACTCTCCCCCTGATTACACAACAGACCCTCCCACCAACTTTGCTACAGGAATTCAGCATCCCTTTGCTATACAGTCACTCATTCTATGGTCTCATGCTAATGGTGTTGGCTTTGATTCATCTTATTGCCACAAGAATGAAAATCGAGCTCCAGTGACCTTTCTAACAACCATTGATGACAATTCTCATATGATTCCAGGTATGTTCAATATTTGTCTTTACAATTCAAGTTAATAATATTTGCATTCAGGACCAGTGTTTGTATCTGGAAATGCTACTGCTCAGACTTTGGCTCTTTTTCTTCGCAAAGTCAAAGATCTGGTTGAGGATATGGCCTGTAGCCTTACAAATGGTGAATTATCTTTTATTGTAGCTTTGATATTGCTTAATTTTATTTTGCTTAAAGAAACTGTTGTTGATATTGGACTGAAGAAACACAAGGATCAGCTCTTACATGAAGCAAAGAAAATTGTCAAGTCCAAGTTTGGATGGTGCCCACTTTTCTTCATGATTCGGGAGCGGCAGCTCGATCAGCCATCTACATTGGTATTTAATCATATTTCTGTGTTTTATGATTTTCTAAAAACTTTGGCTAGTATTTCCTCAGATGTGCATCCGCATTTGTCAGTTCCATGTAATGCAAGCTATCTTGCGCTGGGACAAGGAAGTCAGTGATTCCTTTGAACCTCAACCACGTCCACATCTTTCTCTTGAGCGGAAGCATTTGCTGCTTAGAGCTGTACGCACTCTTCAGCGCTGCCGCTTTGATGAGAGATGGGATCTTAAGGTTGCAGAGTTCAAGGAGTCTGTTCGAAGACTCTGTGTTGGATCCACTACTCAAGCCAACGATATAATCCGATATTTTGAAGCAAATTAGTTTACTCCAGAATGGAGAGGTATTTTCCAGATTTTTATGGCCAATTCAATGCTCAAGGATATCATCCATAGATCTCTGGACTGATATTGGTCTTCCTGCTGGCCAAAATCGGGACAAAATGCTCTCTACCAATAATTGGACAGAGCGAGCTTTCAAGACATTTGATCAAATTTTCTTGGCCAGCCAAGCAAACAAATTGTATGTGCTTATACCATTTATCTGCATTTCTAATGTATATTTCCAGAGCTTATCGTCTTGTACTGATCATTGCAAATCAGTGGTTTGACTATTATCGAGAGTCCTCCTCTTCCTCCTTCAAACGCAAAAAGATCTTCTCCAGATCTCTAGTAACTGTTGCATCAGAAGCAGCTTGATGACGCCAGCCTGTCTTTTCCTTGATAGGATTTCGTGTCTGGCCCTTTGCAGCTGGTCCACGAAGTTTCTGACTAGTTTCAAGCTCTAAAGGATCATAAGTCACATTAATAGAGAAATAAAAAGAATATAGCAGACCAATATAGTCCTTTACTGATCCATGATCAATCTGCAGTCTGACTGCCAAGATGTGATAGCAGGCCTTTCCTGTCTGATCAAATGGAGAACAGGTGCAAGAAAGA